GTCCTCCCGGCCCACCGTGCGCACTTCTGGCGTCCTCCCGGCTCAGGGATCCTCATCCTCCTCACCCGCGGTGTGTTCCAGGAAGCAAGGCTGACTCTAGCATGGGGAGGAAAGGAGGGAAGTGAGAGCTGGCGGTGCCTGACAATGCCAAGCACCTCCGAGGAGCAAGATGGCTTGCCGGGAGGAAAGAATGCGTGAGAAGCGTGCCCTTGTCGGTCCTGCTGTGCTCAAACCTTGGGCTTTTGGTGGCGCAAATGCCCTGGGCTCATACACACACAGCTGAACTGCTTGCTGGGGACAGGGCCGGGGTGGCTAGTGTCTCGTGGGGCTTCGTGGGGCTGTCCCCTCCCGCAAGGAACTACCTAGAGCTTAGTTTGTGACCCCATGTCGTGACTAGCTTTCATCCTTGGTACTGTTGTGATGTGGGGGGACAGAGGGAGGTTGTACACAGTCACTGGAACCTCGACGTAGAAGCTCCCTGTCTCGCTGGCGCCAGGAGACTGTGCAGTCAGGGGAGGTGGAGGCTGAGTGGGCAGCACTGTGGACCTGCAGCACCCAGTGCAGACTGACCAAGGTGGATTGAGTAAGACTCAGACACCCCGAGCAGCCTGGGTTGCTTTGTTCATTTGTGTTGCTGTAAAGCAGTGATTTTCAACCAATGTGCCCCATGGTGTACTGTGAGAGGGTCTTAGGTGTGTCATGAAAGTTTTTAAAGATTGTTAATTAAATTATTTTTGAAAGTTCAAAGTACAGTAAGTATATTCTTTTTTTTTTTTTTTTACCTTTTTTTGGATCAACATAATTTAAGTATGCCATGAAGTTTAACTGTAGGTTCAAGTGTGCCATCAGATAGAAAAAGATTAAAAAATAACACTGCTATGAAGGAATCCCTGAGGCTGGGTCATTCCTTAAGGAAAGAGGTGTATTTGGCTCATGGTTCTGTGGGCTGTGCAGGAAGCCTGGTGCCAGCACCTGCTTCTCACAAGGATGCCGGGAGCCTCCACTGAAGGCTGAAGGGGAAGGGGAGCCAGTGTGTGCAGAGGTCACAAGGCAGAGAGGTGCAGGGGAGTGGGAGAGGTGCTGATAGAGGGGGACTCGCTTGATCATCGCCGTGAGGATGGCACCAAGCCGTTGTTGAGGGGTCCCGACCTAGACACCGCCCACCAGACCCCACCCCCACAAGATTTGGGGAGATACCCAGACTATGTCAGCTGCAGACATGGTTTTCCCAAATGGGAAGGAATCTTAGTAAGATTTTTAAAAATTGTCACTTTCCCTCAATTTACACAGTGCCTACCATCCAGTACACATTAGACTCATGGCAGATATTCTGCACATATGTGAAGGGAAGGCACAGGTGCACGGGGGGGGGGCAGCAGCAGGGCTCGCCTGGGTGAGGAGGTGTGGGACTGTAACAATACTTCATTTCCCAGGGCCACCCCGCACAGCCAGGATAGCCAGTGTGCCTGGTGCTGGCCTGCCAGCAATCAAGAACACCCCCGAGTTTCCAGAAGTCCCCAGGAGACAGTGCCTTCCCTATGAGAACCACTCCCTTGCCTGCCCCCGGAGGCCCCAGCCCGCAGTCATTCCCACCACAGGGCGCTGGTCGGCACTGCACGTCTCTGCCCAGTTACCTGCACCTGCCAGGGCTGGGCACAGGGCAGACCCCACGTACTTGGGGTCCTTATTTAGCAGGTATCTCGCCCTTGGCTGATTTTGTTTCTCATGACATGTCTGCAGACGCAAGATACGATAGGAAAACACGGTGAAGTACAGTGAAGCCAGCAGGGGTGACGCAGACGGTTACTCCCCAGACTGCGGTGTGCACAGCGAACACTGGGGCTGGTGCCTTCCTTCCTGGCAGACAAATGGCAGCTCTTTGGCAGCCAGCGTAGCCAGTATCCACAAAGGCGAAAGCACACCTCTCAACCCGCGCGTCCTTTTGCCAGGCAGATGCAATTATCGACCGTTCAAGGGTAAATAATGGTCAGCATTACCAGTGCAGTGTCCGATGTTTAATCAGCTGCGGACACCCGGGCAACTTTCTCAGTTACCTTCGACTGTTCATTGTTTGGTTGAGCTGTGACTCTGTGAGGCTGCCGGGGGACATGCATTCTAACCTACCTGCTGGCACCATTTGCATCTTTCAGGGGATGTTGTGCCCATCACCAGGTTTGCATATATAGGGCAGGTGGTTTCTACCTACAGACTGGGCTTCTTGTCCATATGCATCTAATTTAATAGGAAGACTCCTGGGACCCTCCAAAGCTCTTCTGATGACAAAGCCTTCCCTTCTGCTAATCTCACGGGAGAATTTGGGAGTCTGTCAGCTTTCTGGCACTCAAGGCTCGGATCTACTTCTCCTTTTGTGGGTAAATAAAAAGTGAAATAACAGAACGCACCCAAATCTAGGGACAGCACCTCCCTTCCCTCTCGGTGGTCAGGGTCACCCGTTGTAACCTCACCCTTCAAGCTCAGCCG